CTTAATATTCCTTGGGTCAATCATTTCTACATATTTCTCCGCCTCATTTTGATCTGTAATTGCCGACAATTTATTTTCCAGCTAATCAAAAAGAAAAAAGAACAAGATTAGTTACGATCATAATTAATTATTTAGAAAACTAAAAGCTTAGTTAGTCATAATTCTGATTTATACCAATCCGAGAAAAGAGTCTGGTCTTCCAATTTTGTAGAGCACTGTGACTACAGCCAAACCCCCGTTGATGTTTTCGTGAACCATGTGAAGCTCGAGAGCAAACCTACCATATATGATGTATCCACTATATATTAACTGGTATGTAAAAATCGAAAATAATTTTTAAATATCAGAAAATTGAAACTAACTTTTAATTTACAAACCATAAGATTCCATGCCATTAATTTATACTGATAAATTTGAATGTAATTTATAATAAGCTCGACAAATAGCATAATTTTAAGTAACTTGATCACCATATGATGTCAATTAAACATTTAAATTTAAATATGGATCAACCATTTATAAAATTGATTCAACATTATAATTAAAATATTAAGTAATTATTTTTGCAACATTTTTAATTTAAAAATTAGGAGAATCGTAAATTAGACTCAAAATAAAATAAAATGTTATTTATTCATCAGAACTTTTTTTGTGTATATGTTAATGTCTTTGTGTTTTTTTTTTTTTTGAACAAATGTCTTTGTGTTCTATTAGGTTTCTTTTGTAGGATAAATGGCTCCAATATCAAACAATTATCAACACAAATAAGATTTTGTTTTCTATATACATCTACAAAGTTTTATGGTTCAGAGATAGATTTTACATGTATGGTTCTGGTATCTAAATTTTATAATGTATATATTCTTCCTACAAATTATCAGATTAAGTCATATGAGATTTTTTCCGTAATTAGTTTAAGTCATATATGAGATTATTGTTTTAACTCATATGAGATGTTATTTAATTTTCTAAAATATTTTAAAGAATAAAGTTATTTTGTTTTATATTAAGTTTTAGTATTATAATGGTCCCAACTATTATGGTATGGCTTAAATCTGGATTAGGTCCAAATTTATATTCATAGAGATGAAATTTAGTTGTTAGAAAATAACGAAAAATGAATTAATTTTGATAAGAAAATGAAAATAATACTCAATTGTTATGGTGTTAACAAAAAAAAATGGATGCTCCTTTTTTTCTGAAAAAAGAGAATCTGAATTTTTTTGATTAGACCATTTCATATCATAATAATAAGTAAGCACATGTACACCGAACATGTTATAATCGAGAAGAAAGGAGAGCAAATTTTGTTATTAAATATTTCACCCGTTAACCGTTTTATAATAAAAATTTAATTTTGTTGATTCAACTATTAATATATATATATATATATATATATATATATATATATATATATATATATATATATATATATATATATATATATAGATAAAGTTGCTGTCAATATGGTAGGGATCATCAAAATTAGTATGTCAACTTTTTTTTTTTTTTAATTTACATAACTGGGTACAATTCATTATATATTAATGTTATTTATAATATTTCATGTATATAGTTATGTTATAGAATGTTGCACACCTTCTTCCATTGATAGTATGTTCCGAGGGAGAATGCCAATGAAGTTGTAGGAGTTTATACTTAGTTCCATTAACCTTAATACTTCCTGACCCTTCTTCTCCAAATTTCAGCTGCGACAAAATAAGTAAGAGTATATATGTAAAAAAAAATTGAAACTCAAAAAAATGAGAGATATGTATATGAATGGGTAATAATTGTTACCATCATATCATGGCCTCTATTTTTGAGAGTGGCGTTACAAGGTTTGTAGTCTCTAGTAAGCTTTTTAAGATGAGTAACAAGTCTAACTCTCTTGTTCATAAGATCAATAGGCGATTGCATTTCTCCTTTTCCACACATTTTCCATTCCGGTCTTAGCTTTCCCCATTTCGCTGGCCCGTTCTCTTGGTTCCATTCGTAGCTGAATTCGTGTTCATCCTCTACATATTCATCCATCCATCATATAATTTAGTTTTTAAAATGCAACCAAAAAAATTATAAACCATTATGTATGAACAAAATGAACCAAAAACCACTACAAGGTGGGCTAGTGGTAGGACGGATTTCGTGGTTGAGGGGGTAATCCCAATACGCCCGGATTCGATTCCTCCTTGCTACATACTAGTGGCCACCAGGGAATTTACATGCGGACTTGCTCTGGCGTCCGAGACCGAAGACCGTTACCTGGCCATGACCCACCCTCGGGTGTGCGTCCGTGCCATAAGGGTTCGGTCTCTAGTGTGGACCACCTCGGTGGGGCCAGGATACTCGGTTATCAAAAAAAAAAAATGAACCAAAATTGTAAGCTATTATGCTTACCAACTTCTCTATAATCTGTTGCAGCACTCAAACACGAAACAACGGTGACGAAGCTGGTGAGAACTAGGAAGATAAAGCATCGGATTGATAATTTATCCATCTTCGTTTGTGAGAGAGATAGAGAGAAGGAGAACGAGAGAGAGAGGTGATGATTGGAGTTAAATGTTTTGGTGAATGCAAATTGGATGCAATAGAAATATATATATATATATATATATATATATATATATATATATAGTAGATGATGATTTATAAGTGCAATAGGATTTGATATGTTAAACGTCAGCTTAGTCGTCACATTTTTCCTCTTATATTATTTAAAGTAATTTTAATGCCGATCGAGACGACATGTTTGACTCTTGTTGAAAACATGTTTTCGTTTCTATTTCACGTTATTTTGTTCCCAAATCATTGGATTCGCAAGATTAATTCACATTCATTGTTTATTCAATTTTTCAAGACAATTTTTGTATGTATGTCGACCAATTTCATAAAATGACGAAGCATTTCCCGGACAAGTTTTTTAGATGAAATGACTCATAAATAGAAACACAAATTTTAGCCAAAAAAATTATATAGACCTTCAGCAAAAAAACTTTATTTATGTAATGTACGTGCACATTAATGATCACATTTTCTTAAAGTCTACGTATTAGCACTACTTACGGTTACAAAGCACTACGTGTACGTTTCATATCGATTGGTTTGGTTATCACTATCTTTTAATGTGCCAAGAAAAACCACAGAAATGTACATCATATTATTAAATAAAAGTTAGTATCATAAAATATTGATTCTGACATTTTATTTATATTAGATGAATACCTACGCTATGCGTGGGTTTGTTTTAAAAATTGTGAAAAAAAAATTATTGATTGTTTTTGCTAATTTATGTTTATTTTTATTTGTTATTATGTAGTTAATAAAACTAAATCAATCTTATGTAGTTACAATTTTTAAGATTAGATCTATTTTTTGACTTGAAATATAATTCGAGAAAAAGATTTACTTGTCAGCTGAGACCTCTTGCTTGTTCCCGTAATATCCTTCATCGTCCTCATGGCTCTGCTAGTTGGCCAGAAGGTACTTTATCAGCTTTCCCAATATCTATTATGGGTACAAAGATTTTTTTATCCTTTTTGAATGGGATTCATTAAACTCTCTCGTTTATATTTGCAGGGGATACAAAAGTTTTAACTGCACAATACGAACCTAAAGCAGGAACGAAGAAGAACGAAACTGCTGAGAAGACTTGTTTTGAAGTCATATGGAATAAACCGGATAGATTGGTAATCGTAAATGCATTTAGTTTTTCAGAAGGAGGCTTGTTTTATTGCTTGAGTATGTCGTACATGTGATTGGTTTTTAGATCTGAATAACTTTTGCTTTGAATATTGATAGGAAAAGTTGAAAGGGAGTATGAAACGATACTGAAAAGGACGCTACAGAGTATTTGTGTTTTGACAGTTGTTCCAAATACCACCACCTCAGTGATAATTCAGGTGAGTAGCTATTCAATGTTGTGTATATCGATATGTCAACTTGAGTTGTATATGCTGTTTTCATTTTGTAATTCCCGTGTAGGTTGTACATGTTGGTGGTTCTGTATCGTTTTTATGTTCCTTGCACCTTGGTAAACATTTACTGATGTTGTCTGAAACACATATAATCCGGTATAAACAATGTCTGTTTGAGTATTTATAGAGTTTATAGTAGTGAAAGTTTGTAATCCCATAAGCTGAGAGTGTGAATACGTTTTTGTGTAACTTCTACCGTGGCCTCCATTATGGCAGTTAGAAGGTAGAAAACGTTTGTTCTAAAGAAATATGATGTACAGAAAGGGAGACTATGAAGGATGGAATTTACGAAGTCGAGAAATTTGCCTTGAGATTCTTCTTCTTTCATATTGAACGATCGGCAGAGAGTGGGAGAGATTTATTTTGTTAAAGTCTTGTGGGGAATTAGAATATTTGTTGGGTTAGAAGCATTAAGCCATCACTGAAATGGGTTCGTCCCATAAATATTGCACTCTTTTTATATATATGAAAGGAGGCTATCTCTCTACATCCTTCCGCCACATCAGCATTTTTGGCTCTTCTGGGGATGACACATCAGCTTGTTATTTGTCCAATCAAAACATTTTATTAATACACATCAGCTTCTAATTATAAGTGTCAAATAGAATAAACAAAATAGCCCATAACGGATGGACCATATGTGTTTTAGACCATGTCCATATGGAGAGCAAGAGAAAACGGAGTTTAAACAACATTTCTCTTATCAAAAAATTCAATACAACTGTGGACATGGTCTTATTGAGCCATAAATATTGCACTCTAATAGATTCTAAAACATATATGGTCCATCCGTTATGGGCTATTTTGTTTATTCCA